ATTATAGATTGGAATTAATTCAAAATTTAATCATTGATGCATCAAACAATTTTTTAAAACATACAACAAGAAGTAAAATCAAATTCCAACTAAAAAAAAAGGATAACACAAAAAAAATAAGAATAAATGATACTTTTGAGTTATCATTAAATAGACTTGTTCATAATGACCATCTTCCAGAATACAAAGACAAAAGAGATACATGCTTATGGTATTGATACATAAGAAAAAAAAAATAATAAACCACCTTTAAAAAACCCTCCTCAATCTCAAATATGATGCAGTAATTATGGTATAGCACTATGCTGCAACAAACAGCATTTATGTTTTAAAGATTTTCATATAATTTCTGAATAAAAACAAGTAAGTTGTAAATGATAGTTTTGAATTCAAAAATGTATTGTTTCATTAAATATTTACAAATCAGTATTATTCTTATTGGTCAAGTAAAATTAAAAAAATATCATCAAATAAGATAATGAATGCTTGATCGATTTGTTTTTCATGAATCTAACAGTAATGTATTGAAACTGAATTGAGAATTTAACATCATTTGTATATTATTTCTAAAGTTTGGAAAATCTAAATCTTTATAAAAAGGCAAAGTAAGTTTAGAAAAGTAATAATCATAACTATTTAAGCTTTTATAACTAAAAGCATAATTACAAAAATTTACTTAATTTAACTTCTGTTATTATTAGAATCAGATAAGTGTCTTATTCAGAATAAAAAAAAAATATGTACAATAAAACTAAGAAACTTTTCAGTTATTTGTAGCACTTGATTTTGTGATCTAGTTTGTATTTTCATATTAAGTTTATTAAGAAATAAAACATAGGCTTTAGTATTTGTTTCTAGTGTATAATAAATATTTGATTATTATTTTTAAAATATCTGTAAATTTTGTCAATAATAATATCATTATTATTGTATATTAGTAATCAGATTTAAGTTTTTTAGAAATATGTTGGAAGTTAGAAGTAAAAGGATTATATCCAGTTTGTTGGTATTATGAAAGTAGCATTTTGGAGCTGTTGTTAGTAGTTACAGTAATTTCTAAACATGTAAACTATATAGAATTTTTAATATTAAGATTAATATATAAGATTAATTAAGTTTAAAAAAGATTTTAAAATATAGAAAATTATTATTTAAAATAATTATAAATAGTTTATATAAGAGGATGGCGATTCTAGTATAATGATTAGGTTGTTATCCTCCAAGTGGCAGATCTAAAGTTCAAATCTCACCTACGATGAAATTTGGAAATTATATCTGCATTACAGTAACTGTCTTCTGTCGATTGGTTGGCCTTATGTAGCTGTTACCCAGATACACCAGGTCAGATCTCCCAACTTTGGGAGCTCAGGCATCTATATAAAGTGTAATATTATATGTATATAGAAGAATGTTAATCAGTATTGCATAAGACTTTGGTGCAAACCCAAGATAAGACTATTGGGTATAGAAGACTAAAGAACCAAGGTAACAGAAACCCACTTGGAAATTTCTGAGTAAAAAGATAGCATGAACTTTCAACACTAGTTGAAGCCCATAAAACACCTTTATAGGAACTGAAGATTAAAACCAGATATCAAATATGTATAGAGAAGCATATAACCAACTAGGCTGCCAGATTTATTAAAGGAAAAAGATACATAAGTATACCATACTGGGCCATCTGGATTGGTAGTCTGGAATGAGACTGATGGTTCCAAGTTGCAGCTAGTAAGGAATAATAGAGAAGATGTCAGGAAGATAGGTGCTGGGGTTTTAGTGAACTTTACAAGAATAGAAATAATGTAATATAGCAGTTAAACAGATAATTCCTATGACTGCAAGTGTTAGGTAACTATAACATATTGCATAAAACTAGGTCTATATATGTAGAACATAAAGGTTCTAGTAAGTTTCCTATCAAGGATAAAGTAGTCCTAAGGGTAATAATAAGCATTGGAAATTTGGATAGGTGTAGCTTTAAGATGTTCTTATAATACAAGAAGGATTGCATATACAGAGGGTTTAAATAGACAAGACTTCTAGTCAGCTTGCAAGTATAGCAACTAATGTAGAACTTATATAGAATATGTAAACAGACTACTTAAATTAGATACCAAAAGTGCATGTGTGGCTAGTTGTAACCTTCAATATAAGGGAGCTCTTGGAGGCACCTGTTTCTTAACAAAACTTGAATAAAATATTGTATCCTCAAGATAAAGACTTTAACTATTAAAAAAAAAAAAAAAAAATTAGTTTATATAAAAATAAAGTAGAAGATAATAATCCTAATGTAGTAGTCAGGTTAATATCTTCCAAGTGGCAGGTCTAAGGTTCAAATTTCATCTATAATGAAATTTGAAAATTAATCTGTATTATAGCAAACTGTCTTTTGATGATCAGTTAAATTTGTATATCTGTAACCTTAAGTTGCATTATCTCGAATGGAAGCTCAGGGCATCTATACCAAGTATAACATTACATGTATATAGAGAAATGTTAGTAACTGGTATCATATAAGACTTCAGTGCAAACCATGATAAGACTACTGAGCACAGTAAACTAAGAAACTAAAGAGTCAAAAGCCTACTTAGAAATTCCTGAATAAAGAGATAATATGAACTTTCAACAAAATGGTTAGACTAATAAAAGCCTATAAAACATCTTCAAAAAGATAGGTGAATAAACCAGATATCAAGATGTGTAAAGGAGTATATAACCAACCAGACTGCCAAAATCATCAGAGAAAAAGAATATATAAATATACCATATCAGACTATCTGAATTAGAAGTTAAGAGAGTCCTGTCAGTCCTAAGTAGTAGTTAGTAAAAGATAATAAAGAAGACATCACAATGATTAGTACTAGAGTTCTAGTAACTTTTACAAGAATAGAAATAGTATAATGTAGCAGTTAAACAGATAACTCCTGTAATTGTAAGTGTTAGATAATTATAACATGTTGCATAAAACTAGATTAGCTGAATGTAAAACAAAGAAGGTTCTAGTAAGTTTCCTGTTGAGGATAAACTAGTCCTAAGGTCTCAAAAGCATCAGATACTTTGAATAGGTGTAGCTCAGAAGATGTCCCTATGATCACAAGTCAGATTATATATACAAAGAGTTTAAATAAGCAAGACCTGCAATTGGCTTGCAGGTATAGCACCTAGTATAGAACCTGTATAGTAATGTATAGACAGACTACTTAAATTAAACACCAAAAGTGCATATGTGGCTAGTTGTAACCTTCTATATATAAAAGTCTCTGAAGGCATCCATATCTAAATACTTAAATAAAAAAATTGATCTTCAAAGGCAAGAACTTTAACATTAAAAAATAAAAAAAATAAAAATAAAGTAAATAATAAAATATTAATCATAAAATAAATTTTATAAATTGTAAAATTATTAGAAATATTTAAAAATATTTAAAATAAAACAAAAAATTTAAAAACAA